ATCGTCGTTACTTTTGTTTGAACCCCCCAGAGCCTCCGCGGCTCTGGGGGGGTCGAGGTTTGGCGTTTAGGACAGTATGCGTTTTGTGGTTACATGCAAAGTATAGCAAAAGCGCACATGCGTCACATCAGATGTTGTTTTCGTGCGTTTTGATCATCATCAGAGCTTTTGAGCAAATCCTTTTAAAGGGACTCAGGAGGCCCAGTCGTCAGTTGTTCTGGTTTAGGCGCATCTAATGAATCTTACACGTTTTCGCGGCCATCCCAGGCCGATCTCGTCTGCCCAGCGGCCATCCAGTCTCTGTGCCTGGCAGCGGACGACTCACGCATGCTTTTTCCTCCTCGCCGTCCTCGTTATCATCGCCCTCGTCCTCCTGTCTCCCCTTCATTGGCCTTCAGGTTTGCCCATTCTCCGCGACACTGCAAGCGAGCATTGCGGCTCGAGCTGGCGTGGTCGGGCAGCGGGCGCGCGCCGGGCACGGCCCTCCACGGACAGACGCCGCTCGTCGCCCAGACTCCCCGCCCGGGACGACGGGCGCAAGTCGGGGGGACTCTGGGAGGCGCGGCCCCGCCCGTGCCCGCGCGTGGCGGAGCGCCCCGCGCAGATGGCCCCGAAGGGCAGCGGGGCCGCATATCGGATCAGTGTGGAGAAGAAAGAACGAACACACGGTGTGAGTTTCCAAGTGCGGCTGCTGGCAAAAGATGGTTCCTCTCTACATTGGCCATTACGGGATTCCCGGGCTGCAGTCGCGGCGGATCGGGAACGGATTGCGCGCGCCCCAGACTGGCGCGCGGAGCTCCGCCGCCTGCTGCAAGAGCCCGCGCAGGTCGATGGGGAGGGCCCGCAGACGCCGCAGCGCCAGCTGGAGGACCCAGGTCGGCGCAGGATGACAGGGAAGCGGGCGGCGTCGCCGCGCCCGCCACCGACGCCGGGGGCCCCTTCGAAGACGCGTCTACAGACGCTGGGCACTCCTGCCGCAGGCGCGCGCGGCCGGCGGACCCCCGGGTCGGCGCGCAGCCGGGGGCCGACTCCTCGGACGGCCGGAGGAAAACAGGATCGATTTGCCATGACATTCCAAGACGTGTTGGCTTTTCACAAGCAGCGCGACCGCATGCCGCTTCGCAAGCATGGCGGACCAGAAAACGACCTGGCGCGAAGGTGGGGCAAGGCGAGGCGGTCCGCCAAGTTGACGCCGGCCGCGCGGGGCCTGATGATGCGCGTCGACGCGCTCGCGGCCCAGGCGGAGGCAGCGAAGCAGCGTGACAGTCGCGCTGTGCGCGCCGAGCAGACGCTTCTGACGCAGCATCGGGAGTGGCATGAGGAACGCGACGTCCACGACGAGGACCGTTGGAGGCAGCCCTCGCTGCATCGGTCTCGCGGCGGCCAGCACCCGTACCCGGGCCTCTCGAACCTGTGCAACACCTGCTACCTCAACGCGCCCCTGCAGTGCCTCCCCCACTGCCCCGCCGCGCGCGCCGCGCTCCTGGGGGCGGAGGGCGAGGGCGAGCCGCTGGTCGTGCAGAACGCGGAGTGGGGGAAATCTCGTCGATAGCTTGGCTCCAGCACGGCCTCTGGTCGACTTTTGTGTTCTTCCCTCCGCGGCAGGGGAGGGGAGGCGATTGGCGCGTGGACAGGGGGGGCGGGGGGTGGGGGGCAGTCGGCATGGGTTTCGCGCCCCTCCTCGAGGAGCTGCGCGCCCTGGCCGCCGCCTGCGCGCGCGGGGCGCCGCCGCCCGCGGGGGGCGTCGGCGGCGCCGCGCCAGCGCCAGTCCGCGTGGACCGTTGGTTCCCGCACGCCTTCGTGGACGCGTTCCTCGCGAAACACTTTCTCTTCAAGCTGGGGAGGTACGAGGACGCGGGCGAGGCGCTGTCGTTCATCCTGGAAGACGCGCCTGGTCTCGCCAGCCTCTTCCAGACCGGATACGACGAGGAGGTCGCGATGAGGCTCCCAGCCTTCGTGGACGGGGCAGACGACGGCGACGACGCCCTGTCGCCGCATGACTTCTTCTTCGATGGGGGCGCGCAGAGATTGGATAATTATGCGAGAGCTGCTCCGCCGCGGCGCCTCCATGGGCGGGCGACTGCGATCGCAGCCCGAGTTGCTGGCGGTCCACGTGCCCCAGAGGTGGGAGTGGGGCGACGGCGCGGCGCTCTTCCTCGGCGGCTGCGACATCGCGCCCTGCTGGGGCGAGCTCCCGGAGGTGGCTCTGAGGGCGGGGGGGGAAGACGTCGCGTACCGCCTGCGCGCCTACGTGCAGTACATCGCGCCCGAGGGATCGAACGCTGTCGCATCCCACGTCCTGAATGACCCCCAGGGCCACTTCGTGGCCCACTTCGAGGAGGATGGGAGCTGGTACACTGCAGACGACTTGGGCGATCGGCCGCACGTGGTCCAGTGGGCGCCGGGCACCGAGCACAAGATACCTTGCATAATCTTCCTTGAGAAGGTGGACTCCAGGGCGGCCCGCGCCGAAGCGTGCCCGTGGCCGCCCGGGCCGGTCGTCGATGGCGCGGAAGGCGCGGGCGGCGACGGCGAGGACAGCCCTGGCCTCGGCGGAGCGTCCGACATGGACGAGGGGTGCGGGGCCGGCGACGTGGGCGCGCTGGGCGCGCGGAAGCGGCCCGCGGGGTCCGCGAGGGGCGGCGCCCTTCCCAAGAAGCGGCTCCGCCTCCGAGGGAAGCAGAGCGTGGCCGGCAGGCGCGACGGCCGGAGCCGCGCCGGGAGGCAGCAGAGCCGCGCTGGGAGGCAGCAGAGCCGCGCTGGGAGGCAGCAGAGCCGCGCTGGGGGGCAGCAGAGCCGCGCTGGGAGGCAGCAGAGCCGGAACCGGGAAGGGGGGCAGCAGGAGGATAAGCAGCGCGGTTGCAAGCCCGAGGAGGTGCTCCGGCAGGGGCGGAAGCCGAAGAGCAAGGGCGACAACGCCGACGGGTCTAGGCAGGACGCCCAGAACAACGCCGCCGCACCTGTCCTGCGCAGCAGCAGGGAGGCGAAGAGCTTGCAGGCGGCGTGCGACGCGCGCCGGGAGTGCGGCGACCTCTTCCTGCTCTTGCACTTGCTGGAGCCGCTGGCCGCTGCCGATGACCTGCTCAAGCACTACCCGGACTTCTTCGTCTACGCCGGCGACGACTGCGCCAACCGATGGGCGACGTTCTTGCGCGCCCCCGATCGGCCTGACAGGTTGGCTGGCAGGCTGCGGGAGGCGCTCGGGGTGACGGAGGAGGAGATTTCCGACGCCAAGCGCCGACTGGAGAGCAGGGAGTGGCACATGCACCACGTCGCGGAGCTCCTGGACGAGCGTCCGAACTCCGCCCGCAGCGCCCACTCCGTGGCGGCCGCGGTCCGCTTGGCGGTGGGCGACGGGCCGGGCGCGCAGGACGACGGCAACCCGCTGAGGGCGCACCTGGCCGATGCGTGGCAGCGCAGGCCCTGCAACCGCGGCCCGCCCCGGCACTCGGCCATGCCTGCGCGCCTTCGGGATCGCTCTGAGTGGTTCCAGTGCCCCGCGCCTGCTCTGCATTATGCCTGCCGCATGTGCGAGGCCGAGTTCCCCAACAGGGAGGCGTTCAAGGCGCACCAGGGCAGAGTGCACGGGGGGCAGCGGTGGTACCAGTCGCAGTATGTGGCGCGGTGCGAGCTGGAGCCCTACCAGCCGTCGCCGACCGAGGAGCGTCAGGTGAGCGGGCGGCGGGGAACTGCGCCCAGCCCCCGGTGACGTGCCCTTAGCGCTGCTGGCGCTCCCGGCGCCAGCGATAAGGGCATCGTCAGCGCTGGGGGTCGGGCGGTGCTCCCCGCCGTCGCTGCAGGTGGTTGCCAGGTTCCACATTTCCCAGTGCTGCGCCACCGTCGACCCCGTGGACGAGCCGTTCGTCCCGAAGCCCGAACCGGAGGTGCAGAGGCAGCTGCTCCACGCGGAGATCATCGGCAGGATCATCGGCAAGATCGGGCAGGGGGGGCCCGCGGAGGACATCTCCCTGCAGGCGGCCGGCGCGGCGGAGGCGGCAGCCCGGGCTCAGGCGGCGTGTCAGGCGAGGGAGCCCCGCGCTTTCCAGGCCTGCGTCTGCTGCGCCATGCAGCAGTGGTCCGAGAACCTCCACTCGGAGTTCCTCGTCGGCGACAAGTGCACCATAAAGGACCAGGCCCAGTTCGCGGACTGCCTGTCGGCCGATTGGTACCACCAACGATGGCCCCTCATACCGCGCGACGAGCTGATGTCGTCGGCCGTGGACTTTCCCCACGACGACTGCGAGGGCTCGCCGACGTCCACGAAGATACTCCTGCACAGGAGGCGCGTGCCGCCTGAGGCGCTCGAAGGGAAGGTGCCAGTGAAAGTGCGCGACGATTGCCGGAGAGACCTGTGGTCTGATCACCCCAAGGTGCCGCTCATGGCGCTGGTGAACGACCTCTGGCTGGGCCGCCACCACCCCTTGCTCAGGAAGGCCGCTCTCGCGCGCCAGATGCTGCTCGCGCTCGGCCGCGTCGCGTCCACGAAGATCTACCTGTCCAGCAAGGGCGCCGACAAGGCCGTCCGGCAGGAGCAGCAGTCGTGGAGGCAGAAGTTCTTGCAGTACGCCATGCAGGGCACCGCCATCGTGTTCGGGAACGGGAACGTGGAACACGCGATGAGGAGCTTCCCGCCGGAGCCCGACATGCTCAGGGACACGTTCGTGGCCGTCTTCGCGGGCGCCGACGACGACGAGGAGGGCATCCCCCTGACCGAGGAGCAGAAGCAGGAGAGGGCCCTGAGAGCCATGAGGGAGGAGGTGGCGCTGCACGTCGACAAGGCGGAGTACGACGCCCAGGCGCGGTTGTTGAAGCAGCACAACTACGTGTACAATGATCCGGGCGTGCAGTACCGATCGGACCTCGTGGACCGGTTCCCTCCGCAGCCGGGCGTGCCCGACTTCATGCTCGCCTGCGCGAAGTATGTCCCCACGGACGCGGCGTTGGACGACGTCGCGCAGGCGTAGGGGCCCGCGTCGGCCACCACTGGTGCGCAAGCAGAGATGAGCGCGGCCGCCGAGGACGCGCAGGAGCTGACCAAGTGGCTGTCCGTCCTTGAGGACCACATGGACGACGTCAGCGAGCTCACGTCCCTGCCGGCGCTCCAGGGCATGCTCGAGAGGTTGGAGAGTCAGGCGGGGCGCGTGGTGGCCAACGAGCTGATGTCCAGGCTCGAGGACCAGGGAGGCGGGGATAGGGCGCTGCAGCTGGACGAGATCGGGCGTCACCGCCTGCGAGACCTCTGCCAGGAATTCCACGCGCGCTGTCGGAAGATGTCCCCGGGGGAGGACATGGCGAAGCTGCACTGGCGCGTCCAGGCGCTGGAGACCAACAACTGCCAGGCGGAGGAGGGCGTGGGCGACCCGGCGCGACCTGCAGGAGTCGCGGGGACTCCCGCCGAGGACGACCCGCGCTCCTTGCAGGGACCGCCCGGCCCCGACGGCCAGCGAAAGGCGAGGCTTCGGGTGCCCACTTCGAGGAAGGCGGAGAGCTGGTGGAATCCGAAGTACTGGTCGATTGCCAGGCCCACGGACTTCTGCTACGGGGACTGCGCCTGGGGCCTCGGCCAGCTCCCCCCGGACGGAGATGAGGACCCGCAGAAGCAGAAGGAGGCTCGGCTCTGCTTCAGCGTGGCGCACTTCATCAAGAATCTTCTCACGCGGGAGGAGATGGAGTACGACGTGCCTGCCGACGACGAGAAGTACGTGGCCAGGCCCATCAGTCGTTTCCGGAGCTCCTGGTACGACGTGCACCTGCTGTGTTCCTTCTGGAGAGTCACGGAGACGACCAACAGCACCTACACTTTCATGAAGACGCCCGGGGCGTTCGGGGCCGCTCGCGCCTGCGCGGACATCACGCCGAAGATGATCGAGGAGGTGCTGCTCAGGGCGCAGCAGACGGGCGGGAAGGCCACGCTGCACGGCATCCTCAAGGACAAGGACACCCCGAACGAGGTGCGGAAGGCCTTCGCCACCCTGGGCCAGGCCACTGCCAGTCAAGTCGGGTCCGACGGACACAGGCGGGAGCTGCGTGGAGAGGGCGAGGCGTATACCCTGCGCTTCGGCCCGCCCGTCCAGTTCGTCACTCCGAATCTGGCAGACACCAAGCAGCCCCTGATCCTCATCGTGCAGGGGGAGGAGTACGCCTTCGACAACGACCTGACCGAGGCGGAGCAAGTCACGTTCAGCGAGATGTCGCAGCGCATCGCCGCGGACCCCGTGGGCCAGGCCGTGGTGTTCGAGCTGATGATGAGGCTGTTCTTCGTCCACGTCCTCGGCCTGCGCCCGGAGACCGTCGGGTGGCGGCGAGGAGAAGTTCGAAAGGCTTCGGAGCATTGGGTCTCCGACGGCGTGGCGGCCGACCTCATGGGCGTGCCCACGGTGTTCGGCCCCCTCGCGGCGGCCTTCGGTCCGGTCGAGGCTCAGGGCCGCGGCTCGCTGCACCCGCACATCCTCATCTGGCTGCTGCAGGGTCAGCTGCGCGTGCTCTTGGACATGCTGCAGCGCGACGAGGCGCGCTTCCAGGAGCGCTTGAACCTGTGGATGCGGCAGGTGGTGCAGGCCGCGGTCGCCACTCAGCAGAGCGCCGTGGAGCTGCTGCCCCTGCAGCTGCAGGGGGGCGAGAACAAGTGCGGGGTCACGGTGCCGCCGCTGCCGTTCGGGCCCAACGAGAAGCGGTACTTCCGGGCCGACGGGGGCGCGGAGATGGCGACTGCAGAGCAGCTCGGGGACGGAGGCGAGACGGAGCCGCGGGAGCTGCGGTTCTACGAGCCCAAGGTAGACGACTACCACAGGGCGATTCCCTGAGGGAGCTTGTGCGATCCGTGGTCCATGATTCCGTGGCGACGATGCGAGCGGCGTGGACAGAGCAGAGGGCCGCGGAGAACAAGGGGTACTGGCGGCGGCCGCTCTCCAGCAGCGCCTCCGGCATCTTCCCGAGGTACCGCGGCGGGGGCACCCTGGCGGAGTCTCTCCCGAGCGAGGAGTGGATTCGCGAGATGTGCCGCGACGCGCGCGAGCTCGTCATCGGCTGCGGCATCCACGTCTGCAGCCCCTCTTGCTACAAGTACCATTCGGACAAGGCGCGCGGCTCGCAGATCTGCCGCTACAACTTCTACAACCTGGTGACATTGTGCACGTGGCCCGAGGATGCGGACTCCCAGGAGTGCCGGTTCCGCACGCGCGGGAAGGCGCTGCGCGGCTGCATCGGCATCTTCGGGGAGACGGACTACGGCATGGCCGGGCGCATCGTCACCTTCCAGCTTCACCCCGGGGAGACCTCCACGAAGTACGCGGCGGTCGTCTCGGCGCGGTGCAACGTGGACGTGCAGGACATGAGACGGGTGCTGCCCCCGCGCCTGTGGATGGATGCGTCGGAGCTGGAACCGGAGCCGGACGAGAAGGACCGCAAGAGCTACAACCATGGCCTCTACCCTCAGCGCTACGCCGACTTCTCGGTGGGCGCCCGGGAGGACTGGGGATGGTTCCAGCATCTGAACACCACGTCCGCGGAGAAATGGGACCTTGTCGTAGTCACCGACTGGCGCGAGATCTTCAGGGAGCTCGCGAACCGCGACAGCCCCGCCGTGGACGGTGGCGACGCTGCGCGCGCCGATCTCCAGCGCGACCTGGAGCGGCACGCGCTGGCCACCTTCGTGGACGCCCACAACACGAGCTACTACGTCAACTCGTACACCACGAAGGTGAACCCCAGCATGGACGACGTGCTCTGCAAGCTCCTCGACGGCGTGCGCCGCCTGAAGAGCCAGTGGGACGACAGGGAGGCGCAGGCCGCGGGCGGCGCCGGCGACGAGGCCCAGTCGACCGCCGCAGGAAAGCGCAAGGAGGATTTCAAGCGCACGCTGCAGGTGCTGGCCCGCTTCGAGACCTGCTTCCGCAGAGCCTCGTGGAAGAGCGGCAGCGAGATGGTCTTCCCCATGCTCTTCGGGCACCTCTCCTTCATGACGCGCCGTTGCTGGAAGGTGTTCATGCGAAAATCCATCTACCTCGCCGCGGTGTCCTGGCGCAGGCGATGCGGCCAGGCCGACGCCGCGGAAAGCGCACCCGCCGCCTCGATCACGTGCGCGGTCCCCGGCACTGGACAGCAGGTCGCGATGCCGGGGCGGCGCGAGGTGCAGCGCGAGGGCGAGACGGTGTACGTCAGCCCCGACGGCGAGGAGTTCGACACGATCGAGTACGCGCACCAGGCGTTCCAGATCGCGAACGCCAGCGGCGGCTCGATGCGCGACGTGACGAAGGCGTTGAACAGGATGCGGGAAGGCGAGGCCGAAGAGGTGCCTGAGGCTCCGGGGCCGACTGTCGAGGTTCTCGCCCAGGGCAAATTCAGGGGCGCAGTGCTGAGCCAGCACGACGACTGGATGCACCGCGGAGGCCACCCTATTGTCCGAGACATGAGCTTGTACGTCTACAGCATCTGGGTGTACCGCGTGGAACTGCCGCTGCATGCCCTTCCGGCCCGGGAGCTGGATCCCGAGGGCAGCGGGGGTCGCGCCCTGCACGTCGACATCGCCTTCGACTCGTCCTACTCGGCGGCGCGCAACTGGACGCAGAGGCTGGCCGTCGAGCCGCGCATCCCGAAGGCCGACGGCTTCCAGTTCGTGAGCGCGGAGCGGAACGTGGAGACGCACTACCTCATGAAGTCGGCGCTGCTCCGGCCAGTGCACCTGCCGGACGCCGACGGGCCCAACGACACGAAGGAGCTGCGCTACCTCCGCGCGTACGAGCACCTGTGCGCGGCGCCGGAGGGCGAGCTAGAGTGGCCGGCGCAGCCGGCGGGAGAACGCGTCTCGGGCCCGTTCCAGCGCGGCTGGGAGTCGTTCGCCACCGCCCAGGAGCAATTGGCGAAGACGGCCCGGGCGAAGTGCCTCAGGAACGACGTCGGGTCTTGGGCGACTCCCAGCATCTGGAACACGGAGGAGGTCGAGTCCGCGCTGCGCGAGAAGCGCAGCGACCGCCGCGAGGACGTGCAGCCTCCTTGCCAGTGCGCCCAGTGCAAGGAGCTGGGCAACTGGCTGGACAGCATGCTGACGGTGCAGGAGTACCTGGCCCTGGAGACCACGAAGACCGCGGCCAACTTCGACGGCATCTCCAAGGCGAAGGCTTCGAAGCCGAAGAGGCCGCAGAAGGACGACGTGCAGGTCGCGGAGGCCCCCGTGTTCCGGGAGGGCGCCGAGGACTCGGGGGCAGGCGCCGCGCAGGTGGAGGCTCAGGGCATCCGCGCTCAGGACGGCTTCGCGAAGCTGGGCGCCAACGCGGTCCTGGAGCATCACTTCGACCCAGAGACGCTCGGGCAGATCTTGCGCTTCGACACCGCCGAGCGCACGCAGGCCTTCGTGAAGGAGCTCAAGAAGGCCGCCACGATGATGGAGAACGGCGCACTGCCCGGGCCGACTGACGCCGACGCGCCGCGGCGCGCAGCCCGCGCCCTGAGGGAGAACGTCCTCACTCCGTGCAGCTGAAGCCGACGGGAGGCAAAATGTCCCTCATCTCCAGCTTCGAGGAACTGGCGGCGGCGGGCATCAACCTCGCTCCAGAGTGCCAGGCCGTGATGAAGATGTTCTGCAACACGCCGCTGTGCTTCGAGCTCCAGGCGTCCAACCGCTTCAAGGACACGAAACTCTGGGATCTCATGGCGTTCCTGCGCCAACCGGGGAAGCAGCTCCCTGCGGCCATCCGAGCCACGTGGAACGCAATGCAGCTGAAACCCGATGAACGCCGGCTCCGGGAGGAGAGGTTCCAGAACGGCCAGATGATCGGGTCCTACTGTGACACCGTGGCGCGGTGGATGAACATGCGTGCCCAGCGGGGCGCCGACGTTCTGAAGAAGCCCCTCTTCCTTGTGCAGGCCGCCGACAGGTCTGCACCGACGATGAGCGTCAAGGACGCCGCCAAGATGATGAACTGTGCCAACCCGGGCTGCTCCCGGTGCACGTGGGCATGCGGATCCGGCTCCTGGAAGCGCTCGACCTCAACAACGGCCTCGTCAAGGATGCCGAGGGGCAAGTCGTGCACATCGTCGTGGACCCTCGAGATCGGGACGACGTCGAGAGAGCCGAGAGAGAGGGGGAGAAGAGGATCTACTTGAAGCGCTTGCCGCTGGGGTTCTGGGTGCGCATGGAGAAGTGCGCGAGCGCGCCCTTCGTGGACGACCTGAAGCGCCACGACGACAGCCTCACGGGGGACCTTACGGGCCCGCTGGTGTTCATCGAGCCCCGCGCGTCGGAGCCGTTCACCTTCCGCACCTCCAAGGTCACGCGGACGGGCTTCCCGTTCTCGCACGGCAGGGTCATCACCACGGTGGCGTGCCAGGGGCGCACCATGCGAGAAGGCGACGGGGCGGGGGGACGGAGCTCCGGGGACGGCCAGACCTCCGGGGCGCGAGCAGTCCGCAGCCATCCTTTGGTCCTGTGGACTCTCGCCCTGGGCCGTCGGCTGCCCGGCGCACTGCCCCCTCGGCCGACGTCGCCCAGGCGTGATCCTGGACTGCGGCCGCCACGAGGTCGGGAACGGCAAGAAGGAGGACGACGACTGGTGGCTGGAGCTCTATGTGCTGCTCTTGCGCGCCACGCGCCACGAGGACCTCCTGCTCATGCGGGCGCCGCGCATCGAGTTCTTCCTGGCAGGGCCGCCGGGTGGCTTGCGGAAGCAGCTGGAGCAGTTTGCGGCGCGCACGAAGCGGTGCAGGAGGGAGGCGACGGCCCTCGCCAGGGAGCTCGGCTTCACCGAGTTTATCCGCGAGGCCTGACCTATGAAGCGTCCCCCCCGAGCCGCGCCTTCTCTCGACTTCCCGACTAATTGTTGGGCCTCGCGCCGCGGACGACCCGCGCGCGTCGCTGGGGCCCTCTCAGGGCGACCAGCGCGCGTCGCGGGAACTCCGTGCTGCGTTTTGCCTGGCGCCTCGTTCGCCCGTCGTCGCTCTGCCCAGCGGTCAGAGCCTTGCCCGCTATCAGCCAGCCAGTTAGCTAGCCGGCTCTCTTTGCTCCGCACAGCGGACGACCCGCGCGCGTCGCTGGGGCCCCGCCTGGGGCGACCAGCGCGCGTCGCGGGGACTCCACGCTGCGCTGCGCCCGCAGCCTTGGATTTTTGGAGTGCGCGGGCAAAGAGAAAGGAAAAGAAGGGACGAAAGCGGGCGCTATCCTCGCAAGGGGCGTGCCGACATGGGTGTCGCGGCGTGCGGGCGCTGCCGTCGGGGTTCCTGCGGAGGCTGCCTGCGGCGGCCACGCCCAGTGTCACGAGTGTTCGGACAGGCATGCTCGAGCCATTCACATTCGTATTCATTTACACTAGGCGTAGCCATGATCGCATTCATGCAAGTATACTCACTCGCACACAGACCCATTCGCACTCAGACTCACTCGCGCTCTGACTCACCCGCGTTCATTCTCTGGTAATCAGACCTATTGTGTTCCTTTGCGTTGTGAACCCCGCCACGTTCCAGCACACCCCTCATACGGTTCGTGGCCCCATAGGGAGCGCCATCGAAGAAGATACTCACAATTGCGGTACTCGCAACTGCATCTGGTTGGGTCCTTCGCCAGGATATTTGTTGTTGTTATTTTTGCGCGCCCGCTTGGTTCCCAAAGGCCACCCTATGGTCCCACCGCTGAAAAGCCTGAGGCGTGGAGGGTGTGCCGTTCGCGGGGGCCCAGGCGTGGAGGGCATTCCGTTGCCTAGTAGTGAGAGTAATAGTAGTGACAGTAGTAGTAGTAGTAGTAGTAGTAGTAGTAGTAGTAGTAGTAGTAGTAGTAGTAGTAGTACTAGTAGTAGTAGTAGTAGTAGTAGTAGTA